AGCCACTGGCACACTGATTCCCACGTGGTGTATTGTTTTCTTTTAGTTTCTCCCAATAGAGTATTGATGTAGAATAAATACTATGTAGTTTTTTACGTCAAAAACCACAATATAATTATGAGAGATGCCTTAACGGGGGCTGGTGGATGCCTTCCAAACTTTAGCTTAATACCGGCGTTCTTTAACCTGCCCTGGCCTCGCACAGAACACGGAGTTGAAGAGAAATTAGCATCTCCAGGATCATTCCTTGTTTTTCCTGTCATAGATCAGTTGACCTAGCCGCCAATTGCGCTGAGCTATATATATTCCTTGTCATTTCCACTGTGAATGTCAGCCTCGTCCTTTTTATTTGTCGGCTGCTGTTCACGATTCTGTCTCACTTTAGCATTTCCTAAAATTACTTCCTCTTTTTCTCTGCGGTTCATTGCGGCAAAAGTTGAAGAGTACAGCAAAAGAAGCTAAGCCCTTACGAAGTGCTCGTTTGACACGCGAGAACTAGACTCAGCTCACTTGCTGCACGGGCCTGTTCTTTTTATGCTTCACGAGACACGTGTATTTTCTGCGCACGTTTCCGGCGGGTCAAGATATATTTAGGTGGTACTCGTTCCCTGCTATTTTCTCTATACAGTACAACGTGCTTTAGAGTACGTACGCCAACGTATCACAACGAAAACCTTCCAAGCTCTGGCGTTGTCTCTCTCCTTTTTTTTACAATTTTATAGCTCGAACAGCCCTGCAGAACTTCTTTGAGGTGGCGTCATTCTCGGTTCTCAAATGTATACACCTCGTGAACGCTGTGTTACGACTCAACCGGAACACAAAGCCCACCAACCACCACGACCCGCTGTCAGGGCAGTGGTGAATTACGGCGGAGAACGAGGCGTCAACGACACCGTCAAAATGTCAGTTGCTTGGCTTCGTTGACGGCACTGAGTCCTTGAGTACCGCGACGTTGGCACATTCGAGGAAGCAGCTATGGAGAACGAACGCGCTCCCATTGCGTTAGGATGTGGGGTGACATCCTACGTACTCTGCAAGCTGATGTCACAGATCGCGCCTGTTCTTATGCTAAAGCGTTAGCTCCACCATCAATACAAGTCAAGATTCTTCATCAGTGGTGTCGCCGTCCGGCATCGTCAGCGTCAAAGTGATTGACGCAAAAAATAACGATGTCACGTTATGATGCAGGCTATGATGTCGCGTGATGACCCCGTCGTGAGACGTGGGGTCAAAATTTCGTCATCACGCGACATCATAGCTTGATCAAACGTGGGCCAATCACGGAGGCCGTGCCTAACTAAATGAGGTGCAGAGAGCTTGCGATGCCTCCGATCATGGAGCCCGGGGAAAATCACGTTAGGTGTTTGGAGAGACTCGGAGAAGAACAAATATACTGAAAAAATAATAACAAGTGCGGTGTTCGCAATGAAGTAGCTTTAGGCGAATGTACAACGAACGGAGCTTATGTCAATTTTGTATCGTTCTCTGTGCCGCTGTTGTGCATTGTCTCTTGGAAGAAATAGAGTAGAGGCTCGTATAGTATTATTGAATGAATAATCGACTAATCAATCAAATATGTCGTGCGCAACAGATAATAATCACACATGTTCGCCTTCTGTTCAATTGACTTTATGAAATAAACCGTTTTGACCAAACAATTCACAGGTTGTGATAGGAGCGAAGGCAATATAGTGAAATTGTAATAGAAAAGAATGTTGAAAAAAAAAACGGCGATGCAGCGGCGAGTGCATAGTGGCTGATTTAGAGCGGAAATTTACTGCAGACTCTTTCCTCTAGTTTCAAGAAGCGACGCAGTCTTCGAGTTCAAACACTGCCCCTCTCTTCCGCCACAATGCGCGTGCATTACGTCTTGCAGCTAGTCTTTATGAATGAACTCTCTGTGAAAACATTTTTATACGTGTGTTCCCTCACTGTAATGGTCCAAGGCATTTTTTTCTTGAAGTAATGTCCAGTACGAAACAGTTTTAAAAGACAGCGGAAGCAATTAAAATTTTTTTGAGCGTGTAAGAACAGTTTAATCCCTGCTGAATCTGAAAAGCGATGTGAAAGTAGTCAGAAAAGGGAACGCAAATATCCTTTTTTTTTTTTTGGCGTGAAAAGCGGAGGCTGTGGCCGAACGGCCTTTTGAGATGCCGAGCGAATACGGTGACGTCATCCTGGTTATCTGCCGTGTTATCTGCAATAGTAGCACTGATGAAGCGCAGCCTCCTCGATCAGCTCCGGCCACTGCACGACACGAGTCAGTCACGAGATGCAGCAGACGCTATGTCCAATACACAGCCATCCCGTTCTCAAGTACCGATGCAGCTGCAAGACTTCGCTTGCTTGTACGTAACCTCACACTGGTACAGTGGAACTCGACGGAATTCACAAACGCTCGCCTGCATAACTTGGATCCCGATCTCAAGCTTCGTCTTCCCTCAGGAATATCTCGAGCTGAGGAGACTCTTCTGTGCCGCCTGTGGCTTGGCGTGGCCTTCACGAACGCATACTCTTATTTCATTGGAATGGCCAGCTCTTCTACATGCACTTACTGCAGCTGCGAAGAAATAATCGCCGATCTTCTATGGGAGTGTACTCATTTCAACGCGCCAAGACAAGAACTTACCCAAGCTCTAGATAGATTAAATGATCGTCTTTTGTCGGGACTGTGAAAGAATTCTGTGCCATTAGCCAAGTCCATCCTTAGCCCAGAAGGCTTCGAAAGTTCTATTACGTTTTTTGCGAACAATTGGCTTTAGAGACAGACGTTAGTTCTGTATTCTCTTTGATTTTGCTTTTCGTCTTTCGCTATCTTTTGTCTTTTCTCTCTCTCTCTCTCTCTCTCTCTCTCTCTCTCTCTCTCGCTTTGTAACATCTCTTTTCTATCATCTTTTATTCTACTCACCCGTTTCCGCAGCACAGGGTTGCCAGCCAGTCCAAGAATTGACAAACCTCCCTGTCTTTGCACTTATTCCTTTCCTCCTCTTTGCTCACACGAATGAATGCTGGTGTTTCTTTCTTGCGTATCATTGACTGACGCATCAAATCTGTTCGAGGTTAGGTGTGGCATTCACCAAATCTTACTCCTTTCACATTGGGATGCTCCCTACGGTGCCTTCCGTTGCGAGGAGACGCTAGGCCACATCCTTTGTGAGTGGCCAGTATATGATGTCCAGATATAGTCACTGGCGTCTGCTCTAGAGCGCCGTGACACTAGACAAATGTCGGTTGAATGCATTTTTGAGAGGACATCACAGCTGAAGGCGACCAAGGAACTTTTGAAACTTCTTTGAAAACTTATTCGGACAAGTGGCTGTGACAGCGATATCTCGTACCAAGCCAGCGTGATGGACGTGTGACTGACTGCATATTTGTGTGTTTTTATGTGTTATCTTTTCTTTCTTCCACTTTTTTTTACCTCTTTCAATGTCATCCTTCTCTTTCCCCGTGTAGGATAGTAAACTGGATTTCCTGGTCTGGTAAACCTCCCTGCTTTACCTTCTCCATCATTTCTTCTCTGTTAGTTGTTGAAAGCTCTACAAATCAATCAGCGAAATCACTGCCCCAAACGTGTAGTATCGCCTAGTTCGTGAAAACTAGTCCATAGGTGACTTCTTTGGGTGCTGCCCTCACAGGGCGGCACAATGATTGTACATTTTTGCGTCCACCGATTAGTTCAAACTCCGCTTAATTCGAACACTTTCATAGTCCCCCTCGAGTTCACATTAACAAGTTTTTACTGTATCATGTTTCACAATATGTTAGGTGCCGTAAAGTCTGCTGTAAGGTAACAGCTGTGGCATTGTTCGCTACGTGGCTTTTGGTGTAACTACGTCAAGCACGAGCGGAATGCTATGCTATTTTCTAACATTCTAATCCCATGTGAACACATATTTTGACCCTAGCGTTTCCAGCCCAACCATTGCTGCGCATTCATTAAACATCACTGTGGCATTAGCTTATTATTATTCAGCACTGAGCTCACATTGCGGTAAAAAATTCATGTAGTTACTGTTTCTTACTATGCTCACCATGCCTGAGCGTCGAATCTTCGGTCGTAATTTGAACACTGCGGCGAGTGATATTCTCTAGCTCCTGTTTGTCTTCCAAGCCCCGTGGGCAAAGAAAAATGGGCCCGTAGAGCACTAAAAAACCCTTCGGTGCCAAGAGAAGGCTCACTCCTCCTCGCAGTGTTGCAATTCTGAAAGCAGAATCTAGGACCATGGCCACGCAGATGGGGCACTTTGCCCACTCCTCGACAACGCTGGGCAAGCTTGTAAACAAAATTAGCATGAGAAAACAAAGACGCAATGGAAGAATACGAGGGCGACAGTTAAGCAAATAAATAACAAAAAATCCACTTTTCGGCTCTTTCTTTTTCACCCTTTAGGTGTACCACTGGTTGTCTGCCTCCACTCGCAGGACCTTTTTATTTTAAACGACCCCTTCATTTCAAACCTCTTCGCGAAGCTCTCTATGAGTCGGTCTCGACTCGGCTACGTTCCTTCTCGTGTTGGCAAGAGTTACTGCGCTAGCTGGCCTAGAGGAGAGAGTGGGCGCACGAATAAGAAAAAAGTAAGGTGCGTGAATCAAAGGTAAAATACAGTGTAAAAGAAGAGGCTACGAGAAGGACACAAGAGGTGGGAAAGGAGGCTGTATGGATGCCCCGGAGATATGCAGTCCGAAAGGGCTGAAACTAAAGGGGCTTGCTTCGAAAGGAGCTGCACGGTATAGCTCTCCATGTAGAATAATGAGTAGCAGAAGAGATGCTCCATTGTGAACTGGCAGAGAGGGTGCATATAGAAAAGAGTGCGTGAGTGAAAGACAAAAGCGACAAGACTATGCAACAGAAATAAAGAGGAGGCGAGGGGGATCAGGAAGAGTAGGCGACGAGTGCTTGAAAGAACTACAGTGCGCACAGACCGGGGAGGGGGGGAAGGAGGTGGAAGAGAAAAACGAAAGTCTGAAACTCTGGGGGGAGAGAGGGTAAAGGACGCACCGCTGCTGCCAGCCCCGGGACCACCGGCGGCCACCCCTCGCGTCGTTTTTAGTCCTAGCTTGGCTCAGTCTCTGTCTTGGCTGTGTGCTTGGCGACGGAAGAACCCCTTTCGGGTCTTCACTTGGGTGGTGCTTCTGGGCGGCAAGACCGTGGTCGAGCGACCCGGACCTTGTCCCCGTCTTTTCTTCTTCTTCTTCTTTGTGGCCGCGGTTCCAGGCGCGACCATCCATCCTGCAAAAGGTCACGGCGCCCGCCACGCAAGAATTGCACCGTCCTTGAGGTGAGAATGCTTTGCATGGCACTTTTTGTCTTGCAGTGCGCGCGACAGACTCTTTCGAGCGCGGCTGCATTCTAGCAGTGCGCGTCTCGCCGCACGGTTCATTGTAGGAGTGCACAACTAGTAGGAACTGCAGGACCACGGGCAAGCGAGTCGGTTCCTACTTTCGGTTGCGCTCGTCCCGCATTTAGAGAGCTATATTTGTTCGACGGTGTCCCTCGACCGGGGACGCACTGCTCCCGTGCTGGCTGCATACCGAGCGCGGGAGTCCTTGAGCGACTGCCTCTGTGCACGACACGAGGCTTGGCTCAAAACGGGAACCATATGCTCATCATTTGGCACCGCGGAAGATCCCAATATTGTTCGCATTACTGTCTAGCTCGAGTAACTCGGTTTAATTGCTTGCCGATAGAAGGAAATGCAGGAGGAGGAGGAGGAGGAGGAGGAGGAGGAGGAGGAGGAAGGGAAGAAATGAAAGGCAGGGAGGTCAACCAGACGCACGCCTGGTTTGCTACCCTGCACTGGGGAAGGGGTGAGGGGATTAAAGAAAATGCAAGGCTGCGGGACCTCACTGGAGCTCTCAATAGAGTCAAGTTTACCACACGTTGCAAAACGTTTCCTATGCAATTCGCTTTATTTCACTGTCGAGTGCATTTTGCAATACTCCCAAAAGTTACTTGCAGTCAAACCATTCAATTAAAAAAAATCCACTATCTTGAACAGAGTATATGTGTATTTTCGTGCATTGTTTCTTTTAGTCAATATAAAGCAATGCTGTTTATTTTTAACGTCCTACTTAGCAGCTGAGGTGCTCTTCAATGGGTCAACAAGAAACTCGCAATGCACTATCTGTGCTATGTTGAGGAACTATACGTCCACCGTTAGTTAAATAAACAATCATCCTGCTATCTTCAGTCCATTAAGAACTTTCGGTGGCAGGAAGAGGAGATTAGCAATGCTTCATCAATGACAGATATTACACCGACCGACAGTGAGGTATTTATTACCACTTGGGTGTTTGCGCAAACGTGTCTGTCGTTTGCCTCTGGACCATATTTCTCAGCACTTATTTGGCTCTGCTACTCAGGCTGAGAAAGAGAAAGAGAGGCCCCGACGCGGTGGTCTAGTGGCTAAAGTACTCGGCTGCTGACCCGCTGGTCGCGGGTTCAAATCCCGGCTGCGGGGCTGCATTTCTGATGGAGGCGGACATGTCGTAGGCCGGTGTGATCAGATTTGGGTGCACGTTAAAGAACCCCAGGTGGTCGAAATTTCCGGAGCCCTCCACTAAGGCGTCTCTCATAATTATATGGTGGTTTTGGGACGTAATACCCCACAAATAAATCAAAGAGAAAGAGAGTTCAGGTGTTTATTTACAAGGTCACAAGGCGAATTCGTTTTTATGCTTTGATTTTGGGCCCTGGTCCCTCGCGACCAGTTTCGGGCCCTCATCCCTCGCGACCAGCCTGAGCTGACCATCGTGGTTGGAGCTGAATAGCACTATCTCCCTATGAGTGTGTTATTAGTTGAGGGAAAGTCAGCCTCTCTGGCTGCTCCCTGCTCTTCTCGAGACAAGACAGCTTAGTGCTTCCTATTGTCCTGGACACGTCCTCTATGGTTCTCGTTTTGAACATTTGAAAGAAAAACCTCAACTCTAAATATGTAGCCTGGGAATTAATCTACTTCATTGCTGCTTTTTTTTTCGAGGTTGTACTTCACGCCCTTATCGAGGCAGCAAGTATGTAGACAGCTGTTGAAAAATGTTGTTCTGGGTGTTTAGCTGCAAATAATAGGGGTATGGTTATGAGGCATGCCAGTGTGGGAACCACCAGATAACCTCTTCACCACCCCACGTTGTTCTTTAACAAGTACACATATCTAAGCGCAGGTGCGTACTATGGCTTTTTGCGCTATATCAGTATGTAGCTTTCCAGGAATCGAAGACGCTTCTTCGAAACTGGCAGCGTGACACCTTGGCCTCTATAGGCCACACGGTGGTTATATTGTATCGGGGTCATGACATGGATGAATGGATCACTCTCAACGTTTAGATGAAACAGTTTATTCGGCTCAACTTGTGGCCAGGAAATCGAAGCTTCTATAAGATTATAGCAACAGACGGGCACTGATAGCGGCGAACGGAACGTCAGCCGGCGATCAACTGACAAGCGGTGAAGCGCGGTGGAATTTTCGCAAGTGTCGTCGAATACTCCAGCCTTATCGCTGGCCTTCGCGAGTGCTGGAAAACTTCTCGAGTATTCGCGTCTAGCGGGAAATCTTAACACAATGATCTATATAAAATGATCGCGAACGTTCTCGAACAATCAAGCGCAGTTTGCGCTGAGCATTCTTGATCCTAGGCTTGTGGGCGAAAACCAAATCAACCAAATGGGGTTCTTTAGATTTGGGTGCACGTTAAAGAACCCCAGGTGGTCTAAATTTCCGGAGCCCTCCACTACGGCGTCTCTCATAATCATATAGTGGTTTTGGGACATTAAACCTCACATATCAATCAATCAACAAAAGTGACAATAACAAACGTGCGTGACAATACGAATGTGCTAAAACAGTCGCTACACTTATTTTTTCTACTCAACGTGTTTTCCTCCTGTCGTCGTCCGGTAGTCGTACCTTCCCTGCGTAGTCATTATTGAAATAGTTTCGGTTTCTATATATTGTCTCCCAGGCATATACGGGTGGTTGTTAGAGTGGTCTGCTGGCCTTCAACGGGAATGATGAGAAATACTTTCTAACGTCTATTACGCGAGCAGTTAATCAGCTGTGGAAGCGATGACCCTGCTTCCTTATATTGAGTGGCGTCCGCTTACAGCATCTGTATAGAAAATGCCGCTGCAGCGGCGTATAGTTCTCATGGCGTTGGGATTCTGACGCGAAAGACGCGGTTTTGATTCCGGCAGTGGTGATCACGTTTCTGTGGAAGCGAAATGCTATAGAGACTCCCGCACTGTACGATGTCAGAGCACGTTAATTTCCCCAGGAAGTAGAAATCATACGGGGCTCTTCACTACAGCGTGTCTGATAATCATACCGTTGTTATGACATGTAAAACCGCAGAAACCACGGTAAGCTCAGTTTATATGCATAGGTTATTGCAATGCAACAACGGGTTAAAGGTATAAAAAATACTGAGCACGGTAGTGAGAAAAGTATAGATTTGATATAAAAAAAACGCTGCAGTTCACACACCAGATCTTTGTTCAGAATTGAAAAGAACAAGATATGCTCGACCAGATCGTCTAAATAGGCTTGAACGCGTGACACTGGCAACGCGCATAACAGTGACAGCAGATTTCCAGCACACTTGTTCAAAGCGCGGGTTTATTCCTTATCTTGAGCGACTCGAGATGAGTGTGTCACAGCTGTTATCAAGGGCATCAATTCTAAAAAAGATAAAAAGAACTTAATGTGAGACACGAAACAACTTTTTTTTGTTAAATTTATACTCTAGCAAGCGTAGGAGGCTGAGTTTTCTTTCTGCCTTTCACCATGCACTCCATGTGGACGAGTACAAAGTGACAACACTTAAACAGAAGGTACTGTTTTTACTGCTTGCCGCTACCAGTATCCCCGTACAACGAGCTGTCGAATAATTCAACCTCGCGCCGCAGTCCGCAAGCTCTTTGGGGTTGAATTCAGCAATGCCGTCCTCATAAGTGCTTTTTTTTTGCAATTCGCCTGACAATTTTCCTGATGTTATGTACCGCATAAGGATTGACTGAAACATTGTTTGGCGAGTCTATTTATTTAGCACAACACTTTTTTTTTAAAATAAGAGCCCTGGTTTGTCTCAGGTGGTGAGGATGACCCCCCCCCCCCCGGAATAGCATCAGTTCCGTGTTCTAAAACGGGCCCTTGAACTGGAACACGTTATTTCTGAAAACCCAATTGGCACGAAGACCTCAGAACATGGTAGCGGCTAATATAGGCGAAGAAGTAGATCTCTTTGAGACCTCTCTTTAATTCGAGAGTTAAGAAAAAGATCTTGAAGGAGGAAGATATATTTGCGATAATTTTTAGTGAACAACGAACGTACCAGAAGGTTCTAGCGCTTGGGTTTACTTATAGTTACTGTATATGGTGCCTTTAGGTAGCATATACAGCGATTCTAGGTGTTGTTTGTGCGCTTGCGTATCGATTACGTCAGTTCTCGTTACCTTTCACTGACATTAGCCGCGATAATGTTTTGAAGGTCAGCGCTCACGTGGTATTGGTATTTTGAAGGCGAAAGCCTGAATTGCACGCTCTCTTCAGCGAAACACGGTATGCGAATGAAGTGGTACAAGAACTCACATGACGTCCGTCACTAATGACGACATGTTGTGACTTCATCACGGTCCCAATTTTAGCGTCACAATGACGTCATCAATCAATGTCGTCACGTGGTGAAAGATCGACCGCTCTCGGAGGCAGTGCACCACCATGCGAGATTCACATAGCTTCATGGTTGGGGTAGCAATGTGACAAACTGAGGCTGTCAAGGTAATTCAATGCGTGCCTCACACAATTTGGCTCATTAGAACTTAGAAGACCTGACTCACGCTGCTTAACTTAATTCATTATACTCAAGAGTGAAGCATGTTTCCGCCTTCAAGAATTACAGAGAATCTGCTGCATAAATGTTCGTAAAAGTGCGAAGACGTACAATGTCATCAGGTGACTTGGCTGGCTTCCATAGCTAGCTTTGCAGCAACGTTTAAAAGCGATCTGGTGACAATGTTTACGACCAACACGCGCCACGTGCCTGCTCTTTCATTAGCGAAAGAAATGCGGCGAAAATCTTGAGCTCAAAGCTTGCTGCTATTACTCGCAGGATAATTAGGGCCTCATCCTGCAGACATTTGTTACGCCTGACAGTTTTCGCCGACAGCTCTTTTCACTACTAAAAAAATGTCTTGGCGGACGGGAGAGTTCGCGAGACATCGTCGCCTGCCCGCGGTCGCGCAACCGTTCGAGACAAGTAAGACAGAGACGACTCTCATTTTTCAACGCCGTGAACAGGATCTGCCTTCGACCGTTCGCTGAACCTGGTTGTTTGTGTTTATCCCGGCATCATCGCTACTCATAGCGTGTGCCTCGACAGCCGAGCGGCCATGACCTGCCATATTGCGCAACGAGGGCTGCCAACTTTTTTTCTCGCGAAACCCGTGCGCTGACGTCACGCGCGAGCAGCCGCGGACGGACGCGATTTTTGGTCGCTCTAAACGGTCTTCGCCTGCCCCGCATACACTCCTCTCCTCCCCCCCTCCCTCCCCCGTGCCACATCAGCACGTCACAAAGTGGGGCGCGAGCACTCACCACGACGACGACAGGGGAATGTTTACACAACGGACCGAAATACGACATTGCGCGCGGGAAGAAAGGGGAAAAAAAGGACGAGAGAGCGTCACATCTTTGGGTGATGAATCGATTCCGGCGCGGGCTCTGGCCGCTTTTGGCTACAATCACCACTTGCGGCAACAGCCACAGCGGCAGCCTTAATTGTGTTACTGATGCCATAGATTCACGCTTAACGCATTGGAAGAAAAACTGGAACTGATATGCCGCAAAAGAACTAAAATGGGATAAATAATGGGTGAATTCTCCAAATTTTTTAACCTCACATGTGTGGCTGCAACACACCTTGAGGATACTCATGCGAGAATACTTACACTGAGGATACTCTTGTGGCGTCAGGCGAACACATTGTTGACGTCACTATAGTTATGCCGCAGACACTGAAAACGCGGGGTAGGGTAATTCGTTCTTTTTCTGTCTGCAGATGTTGCTTAGGAGCCCTCTAAAGTGCAATTGAATGTTGTTTACACAGGTTGAGTAGACATTTAGGAGGCGCAATAGGCCCAACTATCCATTTTCGAGCATTTTTTTTATAGGTCAGGGCTGCGCACACAAAACGTACATTAAAATAGTGCTGCTTAGCGCAAAAAACACACATGAAGGTGAACAAGATATACGAGGACACAGTATTACTAATATGTCATATTTCACGGCATGTAACCGCGGCACAAGAGGAAGATGGTTTCAAACGTTATCATGGTAAAGGACCCCATGTGGTCGAAATTTCAGGAGCCCTACACTACGGCGTCTCTCATAATCATATGGTAGTTTCGGGACGTTAAACCCCACACATGAATCAATCAATCAATCTAACGTTACCATTGCACCACAGATTACTTGACAGCACGATCAACCACTTTCTTAGTAATACCAGTGTCACACGTACGGTCATTTTTAATCACGATCAGTGTCGATCCGGATTAATGACGATCTGTATTAGGTGATAGTACACAGTCAATTTTAATCACAATCAGGCGCGATCGGGATTAAGACTATCGCGAACCGCACACCACGATCTGGCTGAAAGACTGCGATTTAGCGGTCGTCTGCATCCCCTGCCCGAGCTTGTTGAAAGCCCAATAAACAAGAAAATCGAGAATAGTTCAATCAAAACACATTAAAACAGTTATATGTTTATAATAAAACAAATTCTGAACTGTTTAAACTTCAACAATATCTGAAATATTGCACATGTAAAGATTCGTATCGACCGCATGTGGTCATGGGAGAAGCATACGATAAGCAGGCGACTGTTGTCTTCCGTGCTCAGTTCAACTCTCGCACCGTCGGAGCAGTTGGAGCACCTGGAAGCAAACTGATTGTGAGTGTTGCAAGCCTTTCGACTACGTCGCAACGTACGCGCACTTCGTGGTCGAATGAAGAGTCCTCTACAGTAATTGACTTTTGGCAGCAGCGACTGGAAAACCTCAGATGCCAGAAGTGAAACCCTGGCGCGTACAACGAGATTGACGCTACGCTGCTACTGAACGGCTACGAGCTGGGGCCATTAGAAATAAAAGCGAACCTCACAAACCAGTACGCAGGCAAGGAAGGAAGGAAGCAACAAAATGGAGAAGGCACGGAGATTAACCAGAAAGACATCCGGTTGACTACCCTACACTGGAGGATTGGGGAAGGGGACAAGAAAGATGAGAAAGAGGGAATAGTGGGAAAAGAAAAAAAGGAGAGACTGACAGTAATTTCACTGCAGAGTGTAGAACTGCACCGCATGTCAGAGGCGTTTACACAAGCCCATCTTTCTCAGGAAACACAGCAGGGCTTTCACTGCCTTGTGGGCTGTGGAGGTATGTGGACGTTGCTGTAATAGCACCTGCACAGAAAGAGGCCCATACCATCCATGCTACAACTGTACAGAGTGCTGTTTATTGGATAGTTACGGTACAGCTTACCTCCGATATCTAACACCGGCAAGACCGACCTGCGCGCAATTCAGAGCATTCAAGCCCAAGCACTTAAGATATGCCTTGGATTATCCCGCAGTGCTTCAACGGCTGAAACTATTGCCATCGCTCAAGATCACCCAATAAAGACGAATATTATTACCGAGACAATGCGCATGCACCTCAGGCATTTTGCCGGGACCCCTTCCCACCACCTGGCGAATCTCGCTGCTAAAAGGCCCCGCACGACATACGGTGCCACTGTCTGCAAGTATCGTTCATCATTTACTGAGGCGTACACACCTACATCAAAGCCACTGCTTTCTGCTTGGAGCTTGAGTTGGCCACGAGTTCACTTAATGATTCCAGAAATGCGGAGAAATCGGACTTACCGACACACGCCCCGAAACAACTGAGTCTATTCCTACTGGAGCCAAACTACAATAACCACGTGCACATTTACACGGATGGTTCGACTACGCCGTCTAGTTCAGGTGGAGCAGTGGTTATACCATCACAAGGGGTAACTCGGTGTTTTAAGACTTCACATGTGACAACGTCCACGACGGCAGAACTCGAGGCTCTGCGCAGTGCACTGGAACTCATAAATTCTGAAGAAAGACCTAGTAAATGGGCCGTGTTTTCTGACTCAAAATCAGCGTTACAGTGCCTGCTGTCAGTTCTCCGACCCGAATGCCACGACCAGTTGACCTACCAGACCGCGAAACTTCACACCTCTTAATACAAAAAGGCCATGACATCGTCTTTTAATGGTTACCTGGGCATTGTGGTGTAAGTGGAAATGATTCTGCAGATCATGCTGCTCGCACGCCACATGAAGAAACAAACACCATCCTAATTCCGCTTTCAAGAGCGGATGCGGCGAGGCAGATTCGTCAACTGGCCCGCAGTCTCACACTGACTGAATGGAACACGCCAAGCATACGACGTACAAGACTGCACGAGCTAGACCCTTCACTACAACTCCGGCCTCCACCGGGCCTACATCGACGTGAAGCTTCGCTTCTCTATTACCTTTGGCTGGGAGTTGCTT